TGCAAACAAACCAAGACAAACTTTGCAGTACTATTTTTGCTGGTGAAATGTGCCATTCTTTTTATTACGCAACTTGCTGTGGAGCGGTGCGTTACCCTCCCATGACCAGTGAGATCAACCCGCCACCAAACAACATGGCGGCACTTTATCTGTCCACGTCCCCCAGCAATATCGTTTAGCTCGCAGGTTCCTGTGGTAGTGATCTGTTTAAAGTTGTTTTTCGTAGCAGCAATGACTACGGGATTTTGTCGAGTAGATAGGGCCCGGTTTTCGGGAATGGTTGGCGTTCTACCGACGGGTTGATCGGCGACCGCTAGAAAGTTGCAAGTTTCGGCTCGTCGAGGAATGGGGCGTGAACACCTCCCTGCACTGGTGGCGTTTATTGCGGGAAGTTCACACATCCATGCCAATCGCTCATAAGTGTTTTTTGATAGCCCTTTTAACTCGCCGATTGGAAGCAGTCTTGTTGGAGCGCGGAAACCTTCTCTCCGTGGCAAAAGTCCCTCGGCAGCAAATCGTCCCTCGCGGCCGCATATTACTAGCGTCGCTCAGAGAAAAAATTACGCCCACGCCCAACAAGACTGCGAAGGAGGCTACATCATCCCGGACATAATGCAACACCACATGCGAAATTACACAGAAATGCGACGTACGGAAGAATGCGTTTTGGCTGCGAACATCTTCCAAAAAACTTGGCATCTCTTAACCATGGGCAAAAACATCTGGAACCACTTATAAAAACCACCCCGTATCTGCATGAACTTTTTTGAACCCCACTGCTATTCCAAACAACGCGTTTTTCTGGACCATTCCAATTCGCCTCGTAATTGTAGGGGTGCGTCTGCGATATTACATTGACCGCGAAAGCAGCAACGGCAAAAATACACATTCGTGCATCAACACGGGCATGCCCGCAGACGGCGTATAAAATTGCGTGCCGATTACACAAAGAGAACCCAGTGTTTTGACTGCGAACATGAAAAATCAGCCGATTACAACACTCCGTCCGGAGGTCCTGACCTCCTTCACGGAGTAATAAAGCTTTCTTTTAGAGTGTATAGATTCTACTGACTGTCTTTACTGAAGAAGTGGATGCTTCTCTAAATGTCTGATAGTTTTCAAAATCTATCCAGTTGCTTGAGTAACAGTTTTCTGCTGAATATTATGCATCTCATCACCTCCATGTTTAACCTCCATCGAATCAGATGTACTTATACCTAAATCTGATTCAGGGGTGGGAAAGAATTCATACTAATTTTACGGAATACATACGAATTTTACGGAATTCATACGAATTTTACGGAATTCATACGATCCACTACTCGGAAACATACGAATTTTACGGAATACATACGATTCATTACCAGAAACATACGATCCTTACTAATTTGGTGACCTGCGCCTGGATCACGTGACCTCCGTGACAAATTCAAGATGTCGGACTGTAGCGAAGGTTTGTGTATAATAAAATTCATTTCTTCATAGAATATCTTGGTTTTTAAGGACTTCAAGGGCTTATCCCGTCCTGCTAAACACCAGGAACCTCAACCTGCACTTATGTGGGCTTCCTTGGCGACATTTTAGTCTGTATTTTAAGCCAAATAGCAGGGCGAGACTGAGACTCGGTGATCCAGGCGCAGGTCACCAAATTAGTAAGGATCGTATGTTTCCGTGTAATGGATCGTATGTATTCCGTAAGGATCGTATGTTTCCGTGTAATGGATCGTATGTATTCCGTAAGGATTGTATGTTTCTGGTAATGGATTGTATGTATTCCATAAAATTCGCATGTTTCCAAGTAGTGGATCGTATATATTCTGTAAAATTCGTATGAATTCCGTAAAATTCGTATGTATTCCGTAAAATTCGTATGAATTCTTTCCCACCCCTGTGATTATGCTTCACAAAAAAGGATGTAGCCGGTCTGGTCCAATCCAGTCTTGTCAGGTTCAGACAGGATTCCTCACTACTGCATCAGTCAGCCGCCACCTAACTATATATAGAGATACCAAGTTACACACTTGTCTCAAATAATCAAGTATATGGTACGCAAATGCAGAATTCTGATTTTTCTCACCTGGCCTTGTACTCCTGTATCCGGTCACCTGGTGCCTCTGTCATCACAAGTCTCATCTCATCTGGACAGGAACACTTGCAGAGCTGGCAGACCCTCAGGACACAGCTAACTACAGGAGTGTATGAAAAAGAACAAGTTAACAAGGTGATAAACATTGGGATAAAACACTGAACAAATGCAAACTATACCTGATCATTAAAGCTTCATACATTTAAATACTGGTGACTATACATTTTGAGACATTGTTTGGATGTTCCTGCCTTTAAATGCACTATGCTATGGAAGGGCACACATCTGCAACTGACAACGGATACACATGACACTACTTCCAGAGACACAATGATGTTAACTCTGTATGTACAGAAAATACAGAAATTCCTAGCTAAAATTCTTAAAGTGTACATACAGAAGTCATATATCATTAGGTTTGCTTGGCCAAAAAACAACCGGCCTACATGTAGGCACCCAGTGATAGCCCTAAATTCTAATATAAAAGTCACATTTTTCTGCCATAAAAGTCACCAAGTCATCAAACATACATGTACTAGTCTCTTTTATAATTCAAAGGATGGACATTTACATGTATTCAAATCACTGCATTGATAAATCATGGAAAATTGGAACAAGTAGAAAAACAGACTTAGTTCAACTGTTGGTGCCAAAAAATGAATCATTTTGGGGTTGATACAGAATCTGAATGTTACATGTTACTTGTAGTACACAGTACATTGCTTTATTTCATGATGAGGAAAAAATGAATATGAAACAAGAAAGCAGATTGGTGTGGGCCGTGTGGCCTTGCCATTTTGTACCTCTCTCAAACATCTAACCAACAGAACAGTAATGTTTCAAAATTCTTTTGAACATTTCACCAACACATTCTAATGTACAAAAAGTCCCACAAATATCCTACCGTCTTTCCTTTGACAGGGAAGGGACACAAATAAATGTTAGACCAGGAAGCCCGTTGGTGTATAAAAACGTCAATTTTTTTCTCTTCAACGTGTCAGGGAATGTTAGAATTCGAACTAGGCTTTAAAACTGGCCATGACACATTGGGGAGGAGGCAGTTGAAAACCGACCAAAAACTAGCGCGTTTCATTCTCAAAATCACACAAATTTACCACAAATATATCGCAGCGTGTTGTTATCAGTTTGTAGGAAATAAATTCTACGGCACGGCTTGTTGCCTTACCTTGTGAAAACTCAGCCCTCCCCACGACCACGCCATGCTTCCACTGGGCGCCATTTTCTCGTCTTCTCCAAAAATCCACCACGTCAGGAAATCCGCACTTTCTTCGCCAAAAATCCAGAAAACGGCACAACTCCACCATGGAAACATCCCCGAAGACTTCTTCTACACGTTGGAATGAATATTTGTCGAACTGGACACCGAAAATCAACCAAAAAGTTGACAAATAACCCCTGGTCTTCCCCACGTGGCTCCGACAGACGTAGACTGAGTGGACTGTACCACTGTGATTTTTACACAGCTGTGTACAACAGCTGGTCTAACTAACCTGATGACCACAACTACTTTACCGCCAAGAATCAATCCCCTCACAAAAATAATGTCTCTCTGTCCAAAATTTCGAACTAGTTTGTGTGAAAATTACACACAAACAGCATCAGCAGCAACAATTATAGGTATCTCCAAAGTAAAGTAGCCGAAATCTGTTAGTTCAGTCAGCCTCGGCGGCGGCGCCACATGATTCTATGCAAACGGTGCCTGTCCTTGGTGCTGAACGCCATCCACACAATGTTAAACACATAGTGATTATAGTTATGGTGAAAACCACAATCGCGCGCTCGATTTTTGATCGTCCGTGATTAAGTACAGGATCTTGTAAAAGCTTGCCAAACCTTACGGAAGAAAATAGGCATGTTCTTGAGAAAGGTAGGAGTCGAACTGTCAAAGTTCAACGGCAGCGGCTACATGTTACCTTGCATTCGGGCTAGCTGACTCCGCCTGTACGAAAATCCAGGCACTAATATAGCTAATTTCACGCTTTTCATAGACTGCACCGATTATACACGCTATATGTTGTTGCATATGGAGCATATTAGTGGTCTGGCTACAAATTATGTGGGATTAAACGGCCGATTACGCCCCAGGCTTGCAGGCATACTCCCCAACAAGTTTAAGTGCAAATGTGCCCGTGCCTGTCCTTGGTGCTGAACGCCATCCGCACAATGTTAAACATATAGTGTGGTGAACACTACACACGCACGCGCTCGATTTTTGAGCACCCATGATATACAGGAACTTGTAATAGTTTGCCAAGGCTTACGGAAAACTATAATCTTTCAGGCATGCTCTCGAGGGGGTACAGGTCGTACGGTCAACAACGCTCTAAGCTAAATTCACAACGGCAGCGGCTAAGCGTTGCATTTGGGCAATCTGGCTTCGCCTAAATCCAGGCACCATATGATTACGCTTTACGTATACTGTACCGATTACGCTCTATATTGTTGAATTTGACCAATTTTAGCAGTCCGGATACGAATTTCGTGGGGCTAAAACAGCCGATTACGCCCTAGGTAAAGGACTTGCAGGCATATATTGTACGTACGTGCTAACAACGACTACGGAAAGGTAGATAACAGAAAAACGTAGACAAACAAATAGATCCAAAGAGTGCGCGATACACCATCTAAGAAAGAATGTATCGCCCGAAGGTATCCGAATTGGAAAATCAGTACGACAGCTACATGTACTCCATTATTGAAACTTTCGTCGTAAAGTTTCTTACATTTGACTTTTAACCGGGTCGCAACATTGCTGGGTTTGAACTACATCTGATTCACTACCAGTGCCTGCACAGCTCGCAATATCCGCTGTGAGGCGCTGCCATACAGTGCTAGAAAGTTGTAGAACCGGTTAGGTAAAAGGTGAAAGTTCTTATCAGCGGGGTCACCAATTTTGAATGTACATGTATAAGCAGTGTGAGCGCGAGTAAAACCTATTTGGAGATACCAGAGCTGTTCGAAGATGTTTCCACTTCTCCTGTCGCTGTGCTTCGTTGGTAGAGTGCTATGCACAGATCTTACGGTAGGTGTCGCTGGTGTTATTGTTCGGCAAACTGCAAATGTTACAAATTCTGTAAACTCGACAAAATTCCACGCATGCTTTGCTGACAAAGGTCTTTTACTACCTGGAAAATCATGTGCCTTCACGTACGATAAACGGCGAAGTTTTGAGAGTATTAAGGTGTATAGACAGTTACAAACCTTTATTCTTTCGAGGACTAGGTGTCTTTATACTGGAAACCGACTTGACCTGATAAAAATGTCTTGCCTGATGAACGCGAAATACCTCAGCTGACCTTGGCCAGGTTAGGTTCCGATGAACTGATTCAGACGATTCCAATTCATAGTTTGTTGAGGGGGGATTGAAACACGTTGATTTCAACGTTCTATTAGTTATCGCCTAGTTTTAGTGGTATTCTTCGTGGTATGATGTATATAATTCTAGCGATAGTTGGCTAACATATACGCATATCAATGTAAATTTCTAACGTCTCTTCAAGTTTAAAGCGTCCCCTCATATTTGTTTTTGTCAGCAGTCTCCAGCAAAGTGTCTTAACTATGGGGCAGCTGAGGCGTATGGGATTTTCTATCAAATTAACAACAGTGATGATGATGATGACAACACAACTCTGTCCACCTTCCTGAGCAAACCACGCCTTTACTGTCAATCAGATGGCAGGTGCCATGATCAACTCCCCAAATATGGTATGGGCGTCGTTTTAAACTTTTACCTACCTCCTGTTCATAATCTAGGATTTGAACCATTCTTTATTCATGGCAAGCTCAAATCGGCCTGCAGGCCGTTTTTCATTGAAGTCATGTATATAAAAAAATATAAAGTTTACACCATTCAAAGTCCTAATAAATCTATACACACACACGCGCGCGCGCGCACGCACGCACGCACACACACACAAACACACACATACAAACACATATTAGTTTAAGCAAAAATATATTTTACTGTACATTACAAAATTATAATTTCTTCCCTCAAGGTAAAGGATTATCTATTTTCACAGACGATGAAGTTCTTCCCTTCCGTACGGCTCGCTTCACAACACTCGGGGCCACCGGGCGCCTGGGCCCGACTACCCTGGGCGGCCACTACCGCGGGCAGGACCACGAGGGGATGGTGTACTTACGGGACGGGGTCCAGGTCTTCACGGTGCCCGCTACGGGAGTTTACCTGCTAGAAGTCGCAGGTGGGGCTATATATAAGACCGATCCTGACTGTCCGTCATAATTAGAAGTTCAAACAATGAGAGAGTGGCTGCATATTTGCATGTTCATGTTCATGTTCCGTATTAATGTATAGTATAGTAAGATGCATCCCGAGTGATACTTTGGTTTGCTGGTATAGGTGCAGCCGCAGGTTGGGGGAAGGCCGACAACAAGACGACCAGAGGCAGAGGTGCCGTGGTCTTGGCTTCCCTGGAACTCATCAAAGGTAGCATCAGAGGATTTCAGCACCAAGGACAAGGAATGCATGCAATAGTTTCGGTCACTGAAATCATCACATTGAATCTTTTGCGCAATAAAATTTTACGTGAAACGTACCTGTATTTTACGTTTGATACATGATTCGTAGACGTCATGCTTGTTGAGAAAAATTTTGCTGCCCTATCAGCCGAGAAGGATTATGGGACCGGGTAATGTGATACAGCCTTCCAACGCTTGCTGTTTTTATGGGTTTCTGTACTGCTATTCTGTAATCAAATACCATCATTCTAAACATTACATTTTCCTTCTTAAACAGGGCGACTACTTAAGATCCTTGTCGGTCAGGAGGGAGCGGAGAATGAGGAGAGTCACGGAGTAGGAGGAGGGGGCGGTACGTTTGTCACGGGCATCGACAACACTCCGCTCATCATCGCCGGAGGGGGAGGGGGCGGCAACCGCCAGGAGACGCGCAACGCTCGGTGTGACGGGACGGGTGCTGGCGAGGGGAACCCTGGATACTCCCCCAAGGGAGGGACGAGCTTCCCTGGCGGGGTGAAGGGACACGGCGCGACGGAGGGGGACCGGGATAACGTCGGCGGCGGGGGAGGGGGACTGCTCTCCCGAGGGGCGAGTTCGAAGCACTTCGGTGGGAAAGACGGGGCCTACGGCGGGGAAGGGGGTGAATCATACGTTAAAGGGGCTGTGGGGGGAAGGCCGTATGTGAATGGTGCCGAAGGAGGGTTCGGAGGAGGAGGAGGTAGCTTTGGTAACGGAGGAGGGGGTGGAGGAGGAGGGGGGTACTCCGGAGGAGGGAGGGGGGATAACTGGAGTGACGCCTGCGGAGGTGGCGGAGGCTCGTTTTCGGCTGGGAACGAGACGGTCGCAACGGACGGTGGGAACGACGGTCCAGGCTATGTCGTCATCACTAAGTTATAAAAATATTAAATACGCGAACAAGAAGCCCACTGCTCATTGGATAGTACTGTGACTGTATATGATAATGTCACGGTGGCGTAGAGAAGACACGGAGACTCAGAGATGTCGTCCTGTCGTTTCTTTAATCTTTTCAAGTCTCCTCTCCCCCAACGTTACCTTTCTAGAACCCCTTCCTTCGAACAGGTGTCGTTGCTACCTGTTCGAACACCTGCTCAACACCGCGTGCGCACGTGGTGATCACGTGCGCAAGGTGTGTTCGAACAGGCAGCGAACCCCCGCCCGAAGGAAGGGTTCTAACTATAGCTACTACAATGTATAAGGTAAAGTACAAGTGCTTAAGTTAATGTATAACTGTCACTTCGTGACATCTCCCCCGGCTTTTTTACATAACGTCCCCGTTATCTGGTTATCGATTATGTATATACATTTCTATGCCATGCAATTTCTCTTCAAATAAAGTCTCTGCTTCTCTTCAAATAAAGTCTCTGCTTCTCTTCAAATAAAGTCTCTGCTTCTCTTCAAATAAAGTCTCTGCTTCTCCCGGCTCTGCTTCTCCCGGCCCGGTTGCCATGTCCGTCCTCCCCCACCCTCTCGGTGGTTGACTCGCGCACTCCCTCAGGACCGCACGGGAACAGGAACATCTGAAGGAGCCTGCTCCAGCGGGACACACCTCTGGGGGGTGGTGGGTTAGGGCAATACATACAACCATTGACAACCGCACATGTCTTCTATAATTTATCTGTCTCTCTGTCTCTCTCTCTCTGCATAACGGCAA